GTCCCGTTTCACAAGGATTTCCTAATTACCATTGGCAAAAGGACAGAGCTCAAGATCAGGATGGCAAGAACTTGCCACCGAGGGATTTTCCCACTTCCAGGCAGGGCCTGCCCTGACTCTACCTTCCCAGCCTGTGTATTCTCATTTTGGCCACACCCAGGCACAGTATCCTACCAGAGCTGCCTTGACGATGACCCCAGGAGACATTAATTTGGTAAACTGGCCACCCAATAGCCTGACACATCCAGCCAGGGCTTGGGGCAGGAGAGTATCAGGCTTTGCCCTCTAGGAGGATAAGGACTAGGAGTGGATGTGTACACAGGGAACCCCTGGGTTCCTCCTGCTCCTCACTCCCACCCCACAAGGCCAAGCCGGCTCCTCCAAGAAGGCAGCCCTGAAGGCAAGCTGGTGGGATATCTGCACACAGCTAAGGGGCTGCTTCCCACACACCTGGCATCTGTACCTGTCCTCTCCCCTAGCTCCCTAGGGTCCTGAGCCTGTTGGGCACTCTGGCCTCCCTGGAGATCAAACCTTGACAGCTTAGTGTCTGTCCTCTTAAGACCCATAGGCATTCCTATAGTGTCCATTTTACAGATGGAAAGACCCCAGGCATTGTCATAGAAACTGTCAGAGGCACAGATGTGATTGCAGCATTTATTTTAGCCAGTCTCCCTCCTGCCTGCCTACTGGCTATGAAAGGAACCCACGGACCGGGTGGCCTCTCTGGAAGCACACATGCCTTCCTAGGGTGTTAGTGGGCCTCTCCTGGGCATCTGCCCAAGCACCTGGTTGTAGCCCCTGGGGCTCAGGGGAAGTGGTCTCTTCCTGAGGACCACGTTGGTAGAAAAGAACACAGGCCTGGGAGTTCCATAGGTGTACTGCGAACGCCACTGGCTCCTGCGGGATTCCCCCGTCTACCTCGCTGGGGCCTGCTCCCTGAGACCAGCTCCCCCCTCCCCCCCTGCAGGCTGTGCTGTCCAGGGCCCCCTGGGCCTGGGCCTCTGGGACAGGATCACTACGCAGCTCCAGGAGCTGCAGCTGTGCAGCAGACGCCTCTCCACCGAGGACCGTGACGCCCTGCGCCAGCTGCTGCCCGGCCAGCCTGGAAGTGCGTGCACACTGGACCGAGGGCCCCAGCTCTTCTACCGGCGCCTCTGACAGGCGGCGCTGCCCTTGCCCTGCAACCCACCTTCGCCTCAAATAAACGATCGCCGCTGCTGCCTCCACCCCCGCTGTTGCCTGGAAGGCGGGTGGGAGGGGGAAAGCGGGGGTTCACTTTGCTGTAGGGGAGCTGAGAGCCCGCTGGAACTGGGGGCAGCTCTGGTCATTTGGTGGTTACGCGGAGAGGGCAGTCTCCTTTCCCGGAGCCCCTTCCCGCCTGTGGCTTGTATGGCCGCGGGCGTGGCCAGGAGTCGGGACGCGCCCATTTCCGGGTGCGCAGGCGCGGACGTCATGGTGGTAGTCGATTGGGAGGGAGGTGTGCTCAGGGGTAGACCTTGGTGATCGAGCGTAGATTGAGGGAGCTAGGGGTAAGTGCGTGCGCAGGCGCAAACGTCAAAGAGAGCGCCGAGCGGTCGATTGGGAGCGCGGCGCCGCGGGTCCCCCAGACCGGCAGAGCGAGCGCAGGTACCCCGGGCCGGGTGGGGCGAACTAGGAAGGGCCAGCTGAACCGGATGGGAAAAGGCCGCTGGGCTAGGTCCGTGCGCGTCGTCTTGTCGCACAGGGTACCCCCTCGCGCCCAGGCACCTCGTTCCTCATCTTGGGGTAGTCTCTTTAGTCCCGGCCCCGCCCGGCGTTGCGAAGCCATTTCCCCGGGCTTGACGCCCCTGAGAGCGGCGTTCCCAGCGGGCGGGAGCCCCGGGTGTGTCCCGCGGGTGCCGGTCCGTCCCGAGCCGCACGCGGACCCCGCGTGCACCCTCCGCATCCGGTCGGGCCTCACCCCCACGGTCCGCCCCACTCAGGGCGCCTCATTGCTCGCTTGGACCCGGGGGCCGTCTGGGCGGCATCTACACAGTCAAATGTGGGCATTATCTAGAAACTCGCTTTTCGGTTCAGCGTCCGGCCTCTGAGATTTAGCTATATGTTCGTTTGTAGCTAGGGGACATTCGTTTTCGCGACAGAGTGGAATCCCACCGTAGAACTGCAGGCGCTTTCTTTCCTTTATTTCTCCGCTCTTCAGTCCTCTCCGCCCGGGCACCCCCTCTTAGAAGCTTCGGACGGGTTGCTGAGTAGTCTCCCAGCTGCCACCCGCTGGACTTCTGTAATGCATCTGCCTTCCCTGACAAGATCCCTCCCTCGGAGACGTGCTCCTTAACCCTTTCCCTCTGGTCCCTCTGATCCCTGGGTACCCTAGGGCTCCAGCCTGGGCTGCTTTCTCTCTTCGTTCCCCTGTTAATCGTCCCCTGTGTGACGCCACCTACCCCTAGTGTCAGGCGTCAGCGGTGCTAGCTAGCCTGGCCTCTCCTCTGGCCTGAACTGCCTCAGCACACCCTGGATGACTGTGGAGCCTCTGGAACCCCACACAACAGGCCAGGGCGAGCGTTCCTGGGAGTCTGCTCCTTTTCCATCTCTTCCGACTCAGCTCACGTGACTGTCATTGAGCCAGAAATAGGGGACTTGTTCTTGATTCCTTTTCAACTAACATTCTGTTTCAAATACTTCTTCAGTGGGTTTGGTTTCACGTCCAAAGCATGGCTGAAACTGACTCTAGGCACTGCATCAACTACCTGAGTGGGCAGGACCCTCCCAGCGGCCTCATGCTTTTGTTCTTTCTCAGCCCACTTCCCCCCTGGGAGCCCCAAGAGCTTATGTTTAATCTGTCAGTGAGTCCCGCTGCGTTAGTATAAAACTCAGTTCTGATCGCCAGAGCTGTGTACCTTGGTTCCACCTCCATCCTCATTCGGAAAGCTCTGTCCCCCGCTTGTCTATCCCTCTCACTGCATTCCTCTGAAAGGCCTTGTGTTATTTACGCTTTTCTCTCTGCCCAAATGCTCCTCCCCTGGTCTTCTGAAACTTGCCACCTTCTTATCTTCTGCCTTGCATCCTTCAGTGCGCCCCCACCCCTCGCCACTGGTCTCTCCTCTCCTGAGATGCTCCTCAGCACCCACTTTCTCCTGACAGTCTCTAGGGCAGAACTGGTGTTCTCACCACAGCACATAACACCTTGTGTGTTCATCACTATGATGTAGGCAGGCCAGGTCCAGGGACTCAGAGGGGGTCCCTGCTGGACGAGCCAAGAGGGTCCTTACCTTCACACAGGTTAGAAATCAAATGTGAGCCTGAAGGAAGTGAGAACAGAGTTTATTGAATAGCATAACTGACAGAGCATAGCAGAGGGAGCATCTGGGAAATTCGGAAAGCAAAGAATAGTGAGTCTCTGATTGGGGTCAGGAGTTTTTATTGAGGGTTATGTCCTCTCAGGCATCCAGACATTGGTCAGGACAAAGACATATCCTGGGGGTCTTGACATCAAGATGTCTAAAGTCCCATGTCAATGGCCTGGAATATGCACAGGACAGCCTTGCCCGGTCACTCTTCAGATGTTATCTACTGTGCTGACTCCAAAGAAATGATTAACTTCTTGACCTTTACAAGGTAGACGTACATCGTTTGTGCTATAAGGCATGTGCAAGGCAGGGGTACAGGTGCTAGCAAGAATAAAAGCAGAAAAGGAAGCAAAAAAGCAGATATTCATGGAGTTCTTCAGTTTCCCTATCTCAGCTATCTCTTGTCTGACTCTGACTCTGCTGAGGGCAGGGAAGCTCTTCATGAGGTCCAGCACATGAGACCCAGGGGTGTTAGGGGTCACCTTTGATTTGGCATTGGCTCTACTCCCCAGGTCTCTGCTGTGGCCACCTGAGCCCTACAAGATGTTTCACGGGATCCCAGCCACTCCAGGCATGGGAGGTGAGTGTGGCCCAATCTGGACCCAGGGACCCAGAGGGTCCAGGCTTTCAGGCCCTGCTGCAGAGGCCAAGAGTTGGGGGGGGGGGGGGGGGGGGGGGGAGGAGCTATAAGTGTCTCCCCCATACAAGCCTCAGTGGGCAGCTAGGGACTGGTGCAGTTTATCACCAGGGGGCCCAGAGATGACCTCCAGGTGGGACCCACTTGGCACAAAGATAAGAGCTTTAGTGTGGCTGGAATCTCAGGGGGTCCTGGGTATCCTGGAGTCAAGCCAGGGGAAAGGTCACAAAGCATGTGACAAACATCATTTGTGCCGTGTCCCTGCACCGTAAGCAAGGTGTGGTGACCCTGCTATAGAGTGAGGTAACTGAGGAGCAGCGGTGGAATGAGGAGCCAGGCCTGGCATGTGTCTCCCTGGCTCCAGAGGAGTGTCGTGTGCTCAGGTCCCCCACCCCGCGACAAGATGGTGGGGTGCTGGGAGTAGAATTCTATCTTCCAGTTCCCTCTGGGCTCTTTGGGATGTTTCACAGGGTGAGGCCTTGGGTGGGCTAATGAAATGGGGCTGGGATTAGGGCCAGTGGACAAGCCCCCTGGGGTTGCCTTTGCGGCCAGCTTGCTAGCCCTCTGCTCTGTTGCAGCCCCTGGAAACAAGCCGGAGTTATATGAGGTGAGTGGCAGATGTCCACCTGGCCAGCATTGGCCAGCGCCTGTGTGAGCCTCACCTAGACCCCGCAGCCACCCTGGTACCACGGGCTGACACGCTGTCCTCTCTCCAATAGGAGGTGAAGCTGTACAAGAACGCCCGGGAACGGGAGAAGTGAGTCCCGCCCCTGGACTGCCCCCACCCAACACACACTCTCACACACACACACACACACACACACACACACACACACACACACACCATGTTCACCTGCCTCCCCTGAGTAACTTCCCCCAACCTCTGGACCACCCCCATTCTGGGGTCAGGCTGGCGAAACAGTTCCCAAGGAGCCTCTGCTGGGGCAGGTGGGGAGAGGCCGCTGAAATGCAGAGCTCTGCCACAGCTTCACCCTGGGAGGGCTAGTGCCCTCCCTGGGCTTTGGTAGCCGTGGCCTGATGGACACACTATCCTCAGATATGACAACATGGCGGAGCTGTTTGCGGTTGTGAAGACAATGCAGGCTCTGGAGAAGGCATACATCAAGGACTGCGTCACCCCCAATGAGTGAGAGCCCGCTGACCTTGCACCGGTGATAAGAGCCAGTCTGTGGAAGCTTGTTTCTGCCTTCCAGGGCATGGGTGCTCAGGAGGAAGCAAGAGCAGGGGTCTGAGGCCTGAGCTGGGGATTCCTATGGATCCTGCCTCCTCCAGGCTGTGAGGGGGTCCACTCCTGTGGGAGCCACCCAGCACAAGGAGGCTGCCCCTGGGTGCTTGTGGCTTTGGCACCGTCTCAGCCAGGAAGTCCTAGTCGTGGTACAGAAGTGTCTCAGGAGGAGAGACCTGTCTACCACCTTGGTCGGGGGTTCCCCCTGTGCCAGGGGCTCTCCCTGGGCACAGATGTCCTCATTGACAAAAGGGCTGCAGAAGGCAAGCAGAAGGGTCAGGGAGATCAGCATGTGAGGCGCTGTTGGCCAGGCCTGGCACTTAGGAGATACACGGGGCCTTTGTTCAGTGAGATAGGCCTGCCTTGTAGGTCCACAAGCTGTCGATGTGGAGGTGTGGCCAGTGTATTCCAGAAGAGGGGGCTGGCCAGGCTTCTGCCTGGGTCTGGGCTCATCCCGTGTGGCAGCCAGCCGTATTTGGGCCACTTCCCTCTTCTGCTTACTGTCCTCCTAAGGTCTTGTATTTAGACTCCAAGGGAAGCCTCAGCCTTCGTGGCCCATCTCTGATCTCTCTGAGAGCTGCCCTGTGTCTGGATGGGCCGAGAGAGAGAGGAGGTGTGGGCAGGGCTAGCCTGTACTGAGGGCAGCAGCCTGGCCCTCTCCCTAGGTACACTGCAGCCTGTTCTCGGCTCCTGGTCCAGTACAAAGCCGCCTTCCGGCAGGTTCAGGGCGCAGAAATCAGCTCCATTGATGAATTCTGCCGCAAGTTCCGTGTGAGTGAGCTGGCCCCTCCATTTCCCGGGGAACAGCAGGCGGGAGGTGTGGGTGCTGTTGGGGAGGGTCTGGCCACCTGCCCTGTGAGGCCCAGTACCCATGGTACCCGCCCTCCCTCAGCTGGACTGCCCACTCGCCATGGAGAGGATCAAAGAGGACCGTCCTATCACCATCAAAGATGACAAGGGCAACCTGAACCGCTGCATTGCAGACGTGGTCTCGGTGCGCTCCCGCGGCCTCGGGGAGCTATGAGGGGCCAGGGGGGCTCCTGCGGCCTCGGGGGCCTACGAGAGGTCAGGGGGGCCAACGCTGCCTGCCGTGGCCACCGTGTACACAGGAGCCCGGGGCTCCCAGGGCGCAGCCCTCACACACACCGGGAGGGGGTCTTCATAGTTAGGAATGAGGGGTGGGCAGGACCTTCTCCCTGGGCAGCATCCAAGAGAGACCCCTGTGGGAGGCACCGAGGGTCAGTGCAGCCAGGGTTCCCATGCACCCACAGATCCAGGAGGCCTAGCCAAAACCCCGTGGGCCAGGTGGCATAGAGGAGAGCTCATGGGCTATGGGAACAGGGGGGTCCAGCAGGGACCCAGTGACCAGATAGCCAAGGAGAGAGGCTGAGGAGGGAGACAACGGGCCAGACGGGCTGGGTGGGGGCTGACCTGGGCCTGGCCCCGCAGAGGAACCAGGCCCGCGAGCTGCAAGGAGTCCCCCACCCTGAGCCCCTACGGCGGGTCTGTGGTACCTCACACACACACTTCTTCCCAGCTCTTCATCACGGTTATGGACAAACTGCGCCTGGAGATCCGTGCCATGGATGAGGTGCGGCTCCCGGAGGGGACAGAGGGATGGAGGGGTGGCTTGGAGAAGGGAGTGGCAGGGGCAGGGGTAGGAGAGGGTTCCTGGCAGAGGAAGCCGAGCGTCCTGTCCACAGATCCAGCCTGATCTGCGGGAGCTGATGGAGACCATGCACCGCATGAGCCACCTGCCCCCCGACTTCGAGGGCCGCCAGACCGTCAGCCAGTGGTGAGCATCCCTGCCCGAGACTTCCCTGCCCCGTCAAGGACCGAGAAGCCCCTCCCGTGCACACACCTCAGTGCTGTGCTCCCACAGGCTGCAGACCCTGAGCGGCATGTCAGCCTCTGATGAGCTAGATGACTCCCAGGTGCGCCAGATGCTCTTTGACCTGGAGTCGGCCTACAACGCCTTCAACCGCTTCCTGCATGCCTGAGGCCCCCTGTCCCGGGGTCTGGGGAGGAAGGCTCTCCGGTGGGCCCGGTGGAGGGGCCGCAGCTGCGCTCCACGCTCGACCCCTGGATGGTCTGCATGCGCCTTGCTGTTCATAGCAGCTCCTCCGTCTGTGTGTCCGTCCACCCCAGAGCTCTCTCCCTGCCCTCCCCACAATAAAGATGCTTTCTGATCCCCCATGCCTGCTGTGGCTGCCCTCCCCCAGCCGGGCCTGCCCTGCCTTTTTGTCTTCCCTCTGGGCCTCGGGTGGGATCCTGCCTCGCTGGAGCACAGAGGCTCTGAACGTGCGGCCCGTTCCTCAGGAAAGGGTCTGACGCCAGCTTCCCTGGGTGATTGGGAGCAGGGGCCAGGTAAGGCTTGAATCTGACCACAGAGGAGGCTGCCTTTCACATCCGCTTCCCCACCCTTCACCTGAGAGCTCTAAGCAGCTGGGGGGCCGGAGCACTGCTGTGCTGCCCCCGGTACCTCTCCCTGCCCTGGGGGACGCCACAGGCCAGCGCAGGGCCTTGTCCTTGTAGTGGTTCACCGGGGCCCCAGTAGATGACTCACGGGACAGACAGTTTGTCTTGCCCACCACAGAGGGTGTTCCTTGCTCGGGAGCAAGGTCAGGTGGGGGAAGCAACAGTCCTCGGGTGGGGACACGGGTGTCCACAGGCCGATGCTGGCTCAGTTACCAGTGTTTACTGCACCTGCTGCGAGGCCAGGGGCTGTCAACCCTGCAGAAGCCCTGGCCCCCGGCGTCACGGCCACCTCCTCACAGGCAGCTGGCAGCAAGCCACAGACCAAGGCTCTGGATTCCGGGGTGCATCGTGTCACGTTTTGGCAACTATGGCCCTGGGATGAGGGACAGGCTAGAGCTTAATTGTAGCATTCCTTTTTCCTAGTAGTACTTCTGGATGTCTGTAGCATTAAAGGCAATTAAGTAAGGCGTGTAGTATTTCGGATGGTGATAAAGTCTGTGTGTGAACCGGCTGCCAGTTGGGGAGGTGCCATTTTGCACGGGGCAGGCGGTCAAGGATAGCAGAGTCGGCAAGGAAGAGAGTAGAGAGCCATTTGGCAGAAGGGGGGCAGAGAGGCCAGGTGAGGACTTGGGATTGTACCTGGAGCCCTGGATGCCAGCAGGGGCCTCAGAGCGGAGGCGTGCCCCATGTCCTTTGGGTCTCAGTAGGGAAAGACAGCAGAGAGCGGCGACTGGCATGGGGGGCCTGGCCCGGTGGGGGTTGGGGGGGCAGAGAAGGGTCCTTCAGTTCCGGGTGTGGGCCGTGCTGTGTGTCACACCCACAGTGTTTGCTGCTGGGCTGGATGCGGTGTGCAGTGAACACCCAGGCCTTGCACTAGAACAGCTAGACGGAGGAGCTCCTGTGGACATGTGGACACCTGCACCCAGAGGGGCTCCGTGAGGGTGTGGCCAGAGCTGTCGGCACAGGCGGAATCTAATTGTGTCAGCTGGCCAAGGGCATCAGGTGGGTGGCTGGACATCAGAAGCTGGAGTTTCAGAATGAAGGAAGTGAACACGTTGAAGGCTTTTTAGCTCCATGGCAAAAACTCACTCTGATAGGTGCCAGGAACTGTACCCAAGAGGCCCTGGGACTGGTACTGTCACAGTTGGAGGTTGGGGATAGAAACACCACAAAGGAGCGGAAGAAGGGATGGCTGGGGCCAAGGAAACCCAGAGACGCCCTAGCCGCGGACAAGCAGCTGGGTCCAGGGCAGACTGAGATGGGGAAACTCGCCACTAAGAGGCCTGGGGAGCCCTTGGGGCTTTGACAGGATTGGGGTGGGGGGGGCTTCAGGGGAGCCTGGGAGACACTGCCAGTGCCAGAGACCCCAGATCCTGATGTCGATGGCAGCTGAAGGGGCAATGGAGGTTGTTTTGGTCGATACGGTTTTTTCTTTTTATTGTAATTAAGCGCAACATAAAATTTGCCTTTTTTGGTAAAGATTTTATTTTTTTTTTGTGGGGCTTGAACTCCACAACCCTGGGATCAAGAGCCACACGCTTTACCGACTGAGCCAGCCAGGCGCCCCGACCATTTTAAACGTTTTAAAGCTCAGCGGCATGAAGTACACCAAGAATGCTGTACAGCGATCACCACATCCAGACAGAAACTGTCCTCAGTAAACACTAGCTCCCCGTTCCCCATCCCCAGTCCCTGGCCACCACCATCCTGCCTTCTGTCCCTAGATTTTGACTAGGTGCCTCCTACAAGTGGAGTCCTACAGGGTTTATTTTTTTGCGATTGGCTTATTCATGTTGTACATGTGTCAAAAATTTTTTAAAGTGCTATCCCCAATGTGGCGCTTGAATTCACGACACTGAGATCAAGAGTCACAGGCTGTACCAACTGAGCCTGCCAGGTGCCCCTAAGTTTCCTTCCTTTTTAAGGCTGAGGTCGCCCTCCCCCCACCCCCCATTCATGCTGGATGGCACCACAGTGTGATATCCCGGGGTCCTAAGGAGGGGCTGGGGCAGAGGAGATCGGAAGAGCTTGCCAGGGTTCCCGTTATATTACATAGACAGTATTTCATTCATCCATCCATCCTTCAGTGGACACCTGGGTTGTTTCTGTGTTTTGGAGGTTGAACTAGTGCTGCTATGGACACAGGTGTGTTTGAAGACAGGAGGGACTGCAGTGTGCGTGTTGGATGATGGGATGGTGTAGGAAGGGCCCAGGGACACAAGAGAGGGTGCAGCACCCAGAGGGTGACCCCAGCACCAGGGAGGGGGCAGTCAGATGTGCAGGGGCACTGGTGATGCCTTCTGCGGCCGCTCTGGGCTGGGATGGAGGGCATCTGCTGGGAGAGGTGGAGGGTGCATGAAGCAAAGGAATATGGGCCAGCATGAAGTTCCTGAGGTCAAAGGGGCTGCCCCAGGGAGTGCAAGCCACAAGCCTCAATGGCTCAGGCAATTCTGCCACCAGCCCAGGGACCTGGGAAGGCCAGCCTAGAAGGCTGGTCTGAGATCTTTGCCCAGAAGTAATAGACCCTTGAGCAGTGGGTGGCCTGAGGCAGCAGCCAGGTCCCCAATTCCTGCTGCAGCCAGCCCCGTGGTCCTGGTGCAGTGGGATAGGAAAAAGGCCAGTTTGTGCCTACAGTCTTCAGAGTGCCTGAATCTCTCCAACTTCCCTCCTTGCTGACTCAGGGTTCCAAGAATCATCCAAACCCCTGTCAGGCTCTTCCTGTCTCCTCTGCCCCAGCCCCTTCTTAGGACCCAGGGGTATCACACTGGTGCCATCCAGCATGAATGTGTGGGGGTGTGGGGGCGACCTCAGGCCCAGGACTCTGCCCTCAGCATGATGCCCTGCCCTGGGCCCGCGGGACTCTGGGGACAGAGTCCCTTGGGCCTTGGCTCCCAGCTGCCCCAGGGCTTCACCTCTTCCATCCCAACCACACCTCACAGGGCTCAGGGTCAGTGGCCAGCTGAACCAGGTGGGGAAGGGGACGCCCACACACTCCCTCCAGGAAGCAAAAAAAAAAAAACCCCACAAAGGCTGCCCTGAGACCCGGCCAGGGGTGCCAGCTGGCTCCCTGGGGCCTGCCCCTCCCCTGCCAACCAGGCAGAGATAAGCCAAGAGGTTCAAAGGCCAGAGACGGAGCCAACAGGGAGGGGCGGGTGCAGAGCTGGCAGTCACAGCCCTCCCTGGAGCCCCTGGGCCTGGAGCTTGGGATCCTGCCCCACTTCCTCCTGCCAGGAAAGCCCAAGAGACCTCTGCCAGGAGGCAGCCAGCAGAAGGCCCAGTGGGCTCCCCTTGCGTCCTGTGGGGATTTGGCCATTTCCTCAGGCATTTTCCCCAGAGTTCGGGAAGGGGAGGACGACTCCCCAGCGCATGGGAGAAGAGGGCCCCACCCCCCCACCCCCAACTGGGACCTAAGGCTGAGGGTGGGGTGAGGGTGTCTAAGCTGCCTGAACCAAGGAAGCCAAGCAGGGAAGGGGCTGGGAGGGGAGTGGGGCAGGGGTGTGTTCAGGCCTCTCAGGTGGAATGTTGGGGACCTCTGGCCCAGGCCCCCCTTGTTGGCAGCAGACCTTAGAGAGAGGGTTACCCCTCGGGCATAGAAAACGCAGCCCTGCCCCACAGTTCTGCAGAGCCACAGACAAGCTAGCAGATGCCCAGGCTGTCCTTGCAGAGGAAGGGGCCCAGCTCTTGCCCCCCACGGGCAGTGGCTCCAACCTCGGGGAGGACCTGTGGCTGGAATGGTTAACCTGAGGTGCCTCAGTCAGCCAATCACAGAGCCCTGCAGGAAAAATACCTGGGAGAGGTCCTCACGCGTTCGGGCGGGTCAGAGCCCAGCCCCAGTCCGGCCCTAGGCGACCCGAGAGCCCCAGCCAGCCCTGGCGTCAGCGGCCTCCCCAGAGCACAGAGTGCACAGGGGCCTCAGCATGACCATGACAGTCCTGGTTCGACTCCAGCTGGGGCTGCTGCTGTCTGTGCTGATGGTGACCATGGTGGCAGCTCAGCCTACCCGTCTGCTGACCTTGCTGTCCTCGGGCCAGGGTGTTCTGGACCGTGTGGTGCTGGGCAGCCTGTTAAATACACTGGCGGACCGTGTGCACTGCGCCGACGGGCCGTGTGGAAAGGTAATTGCCGCACCCGATGGGTCCCCCAGCCCAGGCCCGCTCCGCCCCAGGGCTGGAAGCAAAGGGCCTGGGCAAACTCCAGGAGGCGGGCCGAGGCGAGGACGGGTGGCCAAGCACCCAGGCCCTGCCTGCAGGCCAGCGCCCACCTTCCTCTGCTCTGAGTTCAGACAGGCCTGCGCTCCCAGGATCGGGGGCTGTGACGGATACATATAGCTCCAGGATCCCAGGGCCGCCTCCTCCGTCAGTCCCCAGGCCATCAAACTGGCAGTGGTTCCGGGAAGAAGCCACCCTGGGATGGGTGGACCACTGCCCCGAGCCCTTTTGTGTGTGTGTGTGTGTGTGTGTGTGTGTGTGTGTGTAATCGAGAGGGTGGTGACGGTGGGAGTGTGTGAAAGAGTGATGATGGAGGGGTGGGTGGGAGAGGGGGAGGGTGAGACCAGTGTGTGTGGGCCCCACAGGGAAGCAGGCAGCTTCCTAACCATAGGCACCTGTCTCTGCCCATAGTGCCTCTCTGTGGATGATGCCCTGGCCCTGGGCAGGCCTGAGAAGCCAGGGCTCCCCGGGGGGGCAGTCCTGGAGCACAGGCACATCGCCCGCTTCAGTGCCGCCGCTGCCCTCTACCTCAGTGACCCCAAGGGCACATGTGCAGATGTCCAGGCTGGCCGCTGGGCCACCCGTGCTGACCATCTCTTGGCCCTGTTGGAGGGCCCCAAGGCCCTGACCCCAGGCCTGAGCAGGCTGCTGCAAAGGATTCAGGCCCAGGCTGCTGGCTGGCCTGCTGCAGAGAAGGTGAGGGCCTGGGTAGGTGGGGCAGAGGGACTAGATGGGGAAGACCTAAGGGGATCCATGGAGAAAGGAGACCACTTAGGGGGTTGGGCCTGGCTGCAGTGGGCAGAACATCCCACAAAGCCTTCCTGGACACCTGGGGGAGTCTGGGGACCTACTTGGGAGGCTCAGGGATCACAAATGGATGTCCGATACCACTCAGGACAGGGACCTGGGGAGCCCCCGGGGCCCTCATCAGACAGGGGCTGAGAAGAATCCTGGGCCCATAGGGAGGGCCCTCGGGGAGGGGTCAGACCCAGCACAGGCCGTAGGCTGGCAGGGTTAGGTGGTGGTGCTCTGAGAAGCCTGATCTGGCACCATGTTAGGGCGGGTCTCGGGGTCGGTGGCATGCAAGGGCACTAGGGTTGATGGTAGAGCTGGAGGCCAGGAAGGCCACCCTGCGGGCAAGGCTGAGCCCTGACCCCTCCCCCAGGCCTGTGTGGACCTGCCCCAGCTGCTGGAGGAGGCAGCAGGGGCAGGAGCTCCCAGCAACCCTGGCCTGGTCCTGGCCGCCCTGTTGGACCATGTCAGCAGTGGGTCCTGTCTCCATGCCCTGCCGACCCCCCAGTACTTTGTAGACTTTGTGTTCCGGCAGCACAGTGGCGAGAATCCCAACATCACACTGGCTGGTGAGGCTGTGGCGGGGCCAGAGAGTTGGGAGTACCCTGAGTCCCCGACCTCCATGTCCTTGGGGAGGGCAGGCCTGGAGCCCATACACACTTTGTGATTCTGTCCCCCCTGCCAGAGCTGGAGGCCTTGATGCAGCGCCTGGGGGTAGGGAGAGTGGCGGAGACACACAGTGACCACAGCGACCATGGTCATCTGGGAAAGGGGGCCAACCACCAGGGCACTGTGCCCCCTGCCACCCCTAACGGCAGCTCCAGCATGTGGGACACAGTGAGCAGCCCATGCACCACCGTCCTGGGGAGAGGTGGGGGCTCATGGGTCTGCTCAGGTCCCTGACCCCCTTTGCTGCCACCCCTCAGGTATGCCTGAGTGCCAGTGAAGTGATGGCCGTGTACGGGCTGTCTGAGCAGGCGGGGGTGACTCCAGAGCTCTGGGCCCAACTGAGCCCGGCCCTGCTCCAGCAGCAACTAAGTGGAGCCTGCAGCCCCCAGTCCAGTCCCCCCACTCAGGACCAGCTCAGTCAGGCGGAAAGTGAGTGCCTGCCTCCCCAGTTGTGCCTGCTTGCCGTACCCATCGGCGCTGGGTGCTGGTGCCACAGAGGTGGGGCCTCACAGGGAGGAGGAAGTGGCCGCTGGGGTCACAGGGAAGTGTGGGGGCCTAGATGGGTAGAGGATGGGGCTTCAAGGGTTAGCGTAAGCAGAGGAATGGCCGGAGCCTGACCACCTGCATCCCTGGTGAGCCGGCTCCCTGGGCCCTGCTTGGACACCCTCCCCTGGGAAGCAAGAAAGGCTCTCATCTCAGCCCTGTGGCCCCCGCTCCCTCTCCAGGGTATCTATATGGCTCCCTAGCCACGCTGCTCATCTGCCTCTGTGCCATTTTCGGCCTCCTGCTTCTGACCTGTGCCACCTACAGTGCTGCCTCCCACTACATCATCCAGACCTTCCTGAGCATGGCTGTGGGTGCACTCACTGGGGATGCCATCCTCCACTTGACACCCAAGGTCAGCCCGCTGCCCCGCCCTCCCCAGACGGGAATTTCCCTGCCCAGTCCTTCGAGGCCCATCCTCCTGGAGCCCTTCCTGTCTCCCTGGCCTCTCCGTCCTTGTCCCCAGGGGTGGGTGGGGTGGGGGAGGCCTTAAAGCCCCCTTCCCTCCCCAGGTGCTAGGGCTGCACACGCACAGCGGGGAGGGCCTTGGCCCACAGTCTACCTGGCGCCTTGTGGCCATGCTGGGTGGCCTCTACACCTTCTTCCTGTTTGAGAACCTCTTCAACCTCTTGCTGCCCCTGGACCCTGAGGTCAGGTGGGAGCTGGAGGTGGTGGGTGGACGGGGCGGAGTCATGGAGGCCCATTGGGCCCTGAGCCACTGTCCCCACAGGACTCAAAGGATGGGCCCTGCAGCCACAGCCACGGTGGCCACAGCCACGGAGTGTCCCTGCAGCTAGCACCCAGCGAGCTCCGGCCGCCTAAGCAGCCCCACGAAGGCTCTCGCGCAGACCTGGTGAGCTGGCCCTTCCCCAGTGTCTCCATCCCTCATGGAATTTCCCCTGCAAGAACCCCTTTCTGCCTCTGCCCCCGCCCC